TAAGCTCTTGGGGAGTGAGCACTGTGTAATGACCTAGAAAGGTAGGCAGCATCTTCGTCCTTCTGCGGAATGCTAGCAGATGCTGGGCCTTGCAGATCAGTTTTCCGTTGGAGGAGAAATCAATAAGGTGGAGTCTGGGTATTTTTTAGTGCAACTTGTTAATTTTACACTGTATACAACAGCCCTTGAAAACAGGTGGGTCACAAACACCAGACAAGGAAATCTCCTCTTTCAAGAATCGCAGCTCAAATGCCAAGCCCTGGTTCCTAGGAAGAAAATTTGTCCCAAGGATTAACAAATTACAGAGATTAAGACAGAGAGTAAACTCTTCTGCTGCTTGCAACCGCTCCACCAAAAGGTACTAATATCACAAAACTAGCAACAATGCGTCCAAGACTGAACAGGGACCAAATGCTAAGAAAAAGATCTTGTAAGACCATGTGTAACAGCACTAGCTGATGACTCCTACATTGTCTTTCTAGTTGTGGCATCTTTGGGGCATTATACTCCCATGTGCTTGCCTTGTGGTTCATGCATTCAGTATGAATCACATGCAGTCCCCCTCATTCACATACACTCTCCAGATTTCTGTGTTGTGTTCTCCTGGGTGCTGGGCAATGTGTGTTCTTATATTCTTTCATAGTCACTTTCTGCTGCTCTTATGTCTGAGATCACGCTCCTATGGAGGAGCGGCAGAACAGCTGAGAAAACAGTAGAACCACAGAATTCTCTGCCTTCTTTGAAAAAGCCTTCTGAAAAGCAAGATCCCCCCCTCCCCTTATCACTAAATAGGCCTTAATATATCAAAGGAGCTCTCAGCACAGGATCCTAAATGCCTGTTATCTGTAGTATCAGGGTACGTCTACACTACCCGCCAGATCGGCGGGTAATGATCAATCTATCGGGGATCAATGTATCGTGTCTAGATGAGACACGATACATCGATCCCTGAACGCACTCCCCGTCGACTCCGGAACTCCACCGCTGCGAGAGACGGAAGCGGAGTCAACGGGGGAGTGGCGGCCGTCAATCCCGTGCCGCGAGGACGCAAAATAAGTCAATCTAAGTCGATCTAAGATACGTCGACTTCAGCTACGCTATTCTCATAGCTGAAGTAGCGTATCTTATGATTTCCACCCCCACCCCCCGGGGTAGACCAGGCCTCAGTATCTTCTCCCACCTCAACTGCCAGCTCCTTTGCTTGACCTGGTAATTTACTAGTGCCTTTGTTCTGTGTAGATCCAGTCACTACAAACTTATCCTAGAGAAAGGAGGGTCTGACCAACACATCTGACCTCCAGCCAAGGGTTGAACTTTGTATACTCAATCCATTGCTTAACTGGGCATTGTTTGGGCTGGGGTCAGATCTGCTCCAGCCTCTATGCCTCCAAGGCAAAATCAGTCCCACGAGGAATGCCTTCCCGACCACATAGCTTTAAATATGGTAAGGAGACCTTTCTTCAATGAGTGCCTGCCTCTACTAAAGTTAAACCAGGAAACAGGTGGAATCGAGCACATGTATTTAAAGACTGACTTGCAAGCAAGCAACAGCGAGTAATTTGAGGATGTGATCCCTGCAGTGTCTGTGTTGTTATAGTCTCTGAATGCTGACCTGTAATTGTCCTGAAGTTTAAAGAGGATGAAAGCACTGTACTGTAGTAATTAAACTGCCATGAAACAGAAAGATGAAAGTTTCTCTAAACAGCAGCTGTCTTGACTTCCCAATGAACAAACAAACAAAAATACTGTTCCAATTCTGTTTCCCCTCGTTAGTCGTTGCAAGACATCCCGGGACTGAACTATAGCTCTCTGTTGTACTGCAAGGGAGAATTAAGCTAAACACAAAGATATGGTAAAAGCCTCTTCTTTCTTACATTCCAAAATAGAATTTAAAACAGTTAAAGAAAATCCTACAGGGGGAAAAAACGTAAGCAATTTCTTTAACAAGTAAAGGGAATCAATACATTTAATGAAGACAATCTCAGGTTCCAAGTAGAAAAATTAACAGCCAATTAGTAAGGTCTAAAAATACAATTACCTGAAATTTTCAAGAGCTACATCAGAAAGACAAGGCGGGCGAGGTAATATCTTTTTTTGGACCAACTTTTGTTGGCAAGAGAGTCAAGCGTTCAAGCTTACACAGAGCTCTTCTTCAGATCTGGGCCACAGACGTTGGTCCAGTAAAAGATATTACCTCACCCACCTGGTCTCTCTACTATCCTGGGACCAACATGGCTACAACAACACAGCAAAAGCTACCCCAGGCTTTCTCAGGCTGTTTTACATAATGCAAATGACAGTTCATTATGCTCTTGCTGTTTGCAAGCAAAGTCAAAGAGGGATCGTTTTCACACAAAGAGGCCTTGAGCTGAAATTGGCCATTGGATTATTTCCCCCTGTTCCTGAAAGTTCTATCAACTGACCTGGCAAGCAAAGAATTTTGCATTGTGTGATCCAGGCTGAGAAGGAACAGTCCTGACTCACTGTTCTCAGATTTCCTTTCCGAGGCCCATTCCACTGAGTAAAACTCCACAGAAGATCCCAGACTTGACTCAGACCCTTTAATGTTTTGGCACTCATTGGATACACAGGAAGAAGAGTGCAGAGGAAGGGAGGGAGGCTTATATCAAGACATATGAGACAGTGATCCATGGATCAGGAGTTTCGGTGAAAAATAAGACTGACAGGCTCCATGCTTGCAGAGAAGCTAACAGAACGGTCTAATGATGTAAGAGAAGCATTTCAACGAAGAAACTTATTAAAGCCCAGTCAGCCTGGCATACTAGCTCAACAATTATTACACCTGGTTGAAATCCTGAAGAAATTCCTTTTCCATACCAGCAAGAATGGATTGCAGTTTTGTATCCAAAGAAGTGGGGGCAGGACAAAAACTCTTTGCTCAATTATCTAATCATGAACAAAGGTAAATGTTTAAGAAAGAATGCATTCCTTTCCTCCGAAGTTGACTTCATGGATGTAAGGGGCGGGGATGTCTTTTGGTTCTGTGTTTGTTCATCTCCTAGCACAATGGGGTCCTGGTCCAGAATTTGGGCCCCTAGCCACTACCCCAGTAAAAATAGATGATAATGATAATAAAGATAATAGTATGCATCTGTGTGATAGGGCTTAACACCCATCATCTGCAAGGCTAGCAATGCACTTTATTAGTCATCTTTGCTCCTAGGGAGGTGAGCAGCTAATTGGCTCATGGCCAAAGGGGGCCGAGATAAGCCCTAATAAATAAACTGAAGGAGTTTGGTTGGGGGAGGAGGAAGAGATGGCAGATGAGACAGGTCTCTCAGACTGAGAGAAGCCATGGGCTAGGGTGCACAGACAGAGACAACAGTGGTAGCACAGGTAGCAAGGGAAGCCCTGAGATGGTGTCTGTAAGTAGAGAAGACTTGAGTAGCCCAAGAGGGCAGAAGAACTATTCAGTTTCATTTGGGCTTGTTTATAACACCCCAGAAGGGGTCGGAACTTAGGTGACTTAGACGAAGGGCTGAGACACACAAGACTGGGGCCAGAAGCAGGTGACCAGCAGGAGGCGCTAGAGCCGAAGATAGCTGCTACATCCTGCACTCTGGGGGTGAGTAAGTCCTGCCACAGTCCTCCACTCTGCCGATTTCAAACGCTGGTACAATGCGCAACCAAACTGAATATGTGTGACCTCAATAGTATTGTGCTATTTGGAAGACACACATTTAGTTAAAGCTGTTGCCAGATATTTTCTACAGGCAAGACCTCTGACTGGGATGACAGGAATTCTTGAACTAGAACTGATTCCTGTTAATAGAAATCTCACTCCTAACATCACACTGGATAACTGATACTAAAAATTATTCCTGCCGTGTGGCAGTAGCCATTCTAAATATGGCCCAACTCCTTCCCTGGCCCTGTTGCCTCTCTCCAGTTTGATTCTGGCTCCAGAGACCTCCTCACTTGCTCCTTCCTGCTTCCTGACTCCCTCCCCATAGCGGCTTTCAGTAACCTGTGCATATATGGGTATACACCAGAAACTGAGAGCCACTAGCCATTAGCCAATGAATCCTAAAAACATGGATGCTGCACACCCTGAATCAAAATGGATCCACGGTTTGAAGTTTGTTATTTTTCCACTTGATTTAAAAATAATATGGTACAAAATCTGACAGACTAGATCCACAAACAATAAAAAGAAGCCATAAGGCTGTCTTAAACACCCAGCTAAAGTGAGTTTACGGCTGCTTTTTGGTACTGGAGTATCACAAAGTATCCGGAGCCTGATCATGAATCTGTCTCAAAATGCCAACTGTAAAGAAGGGATTTTCCTGATGGTCCAGTGCTGATCTACAGACCTCAGAAACCAGCACAGATTAGGGAGGGTGAGCAGATTCTGATAAAATAAGCGGCAACTCAAAATCCTAATCCAAACACCTCAACCTTTAAAGAGTCATTTAATTCGTCAGGCCAATTCTAGACGTGCAAGTGCTCACAAAGCACCAGGATGGGAGAAATCAAGGAGTCATTGATGTTGATGTCAAATTTCCCAATAGTTTCAATGGGACCCACAATGTTTCCATCCTGACTGCAATCGGGAGGTATTGAGAATCTCCCAAGTAAGTTTCTTCTCATGGGATATCCAGCTGAAGAGTAAAGTTCAATGGGAGTTGAGGGTAATGAATCATAATTTTGCAGACAGAAGTGTTCAGACAGTATAACTTAGCTTTGGATAAGCATTTACACTAGAATACACAACCTCTTGAGATTCAGGAATTATTAGCATATATTCCACTGTGTGGTACTTGTTACTCGAAGCATGGGCATTGTCCCATTGTCTTCAGTAGGACTACTCCTGTCTTTCATGGTAGACGTGTGCTCAAGTACCTTGCTGAAATGGGGCCTGCAAAAAGACGTTCCAGATCACTAGCCCTAATTCCCATTGTCAGGTAGCACGGCTAGGATCCAGAAGAGAGTCTCACTTGAATTATTCGTGATGGTTTGACACTGTCTCTGGCTCTCAGTGGTGGAGTAGGCTAACTGCTCAGCATTAACTTTGTGATAGGATTTTGCAGGAGCTATAATGGACTATCATCTATAATTGCAGTGAGTGTCAGTGCTGTACCAACAAGAAAAGACGGAGCATAAAATTATCCCCGCCTAAAATCACATAGCTCCCAGCTCACTCATGGATTGAGCAGGGGGTTGGACTAGATGACCTCTTGAGGTCCCTTCCAACCCTGATATTCTATGATTTCTGAAATGGGCAAAGAGAAGCACCAAATCTGAACTCTTTCACATGTTACTGGGTGGTGCAAAGTCAAAAAGACCTTTCATAACATTGGAGCCAGAGCACTTGTTCTGTTCAAACACTGCCTTAAAGCATGGGTCTACCCTGAAAAGTGTAAAAATGGTTTGTGAAAATTTGAGATCTTGACTTTTTGTCCTAATTTGGGACAGGAAAATTTTCAAAAATCTCAAATTTGAACCATTTTCCACCTAATCCTTGGCTGCCATATTTAAAGAAATGCAGTGAATTCAAAGGGGAAATTTGCTCAGTTTACAAGTAACAAGATTTTTTTCCCCTACCAGTGAGGCCTGCAATCTCAAAGCCATGCAATGTTCTTTGTGGCTCATGTATCATCACCAATAAAGACAGATCCTGGACCAGATCCTCAACTCAATTACAAAACCTCAATATTACTCTGTGAAGTTGCAGTTTAGTTAATAGTTATTGATGTAACATGAAACAGAAAGGAATCAGACTCCCCACTGCGTTGGCTTTGCACTGCTAACTGGGATAAAACACGCTAGGCTCTGTTTTTAGAAAGTGTGGAACACCCACCTTCTGAAAAAGAGACTCATTAAAGATGTCTCACATTGGGCATCCCAAAATCTCCAGTGATTTGAAAATCCAGACTATTAAAACTTGCTTTTGTCCGTAAAGTCAGCTGTTACGAAGGTGCCATTTTTATGCAGTCCCCTTTCTGACCGTGCCGTACTTTAACTCACTGCCACTTTAATCCACCTGGTTCAGCTTTGTTTGTTTATTTTAAAAATTGTCTTTTTTAAAAAAAACACCCCCTCAACCAACCCCCAACCCATTGTTCTGTTCTTTGATCTTTTAGGTTTCTGCAGGATCTATAGTCGAAAGTGTGAAAGACAGAGTGATCGACTCCCGACTGCAAGCGTACGTCACCAGGCCGGGCTTGTTCACATGCATTGCCACCAACAAACACAGCAAAACCTTTGGTACTGCAAAAGCTGCAGCGACTATCACTGTGTCAGGTATGCTGAAAAGAAAAGGCTTTTACTAAGCATCTTGCCACCCAGCATTAACTTTCTCCTGTCAGGAGGAAGGAGTAGGAGAAGAAGCTTTGGAGGATGTGAGGGGCTCTACTTAATAATAATTTACAGTGGGTTAAATTTGACCACAAGTGCAACCCCCTGCTGGGCTATTTCCTTATACACCTCTACCTCAATATAATGCTGTCCTCGGGAGCCAAAAAATCTTACCGTGTTATAGGTGAAACCATGTTATATCGAACATGCTTTGATCCACTGGCGTGCGCAGCCCCGCCCCCCCGGAGCACTGCTTTACTGCGTTATAGCTGAATTTGTGTTATATCGGGTCGCATTATATCGAGGTAGCGGTGTATATCATTACGCTACAGAGATTGGCACAGCTGTCATTTCCTGCTTACTTGCTGTTGTCTTGCATGCTGGGTCCCAGAAGTGCTGTGTAAGCTCATCCTTGTGGAGGAAGTCACAGTATTAATATCACCTAACGGCAAAGTGAAAATAACCTCAATGAGCTACTAGCATCTTGTTATATCAAAGAAACCATGGAGCTTGGTGGCAGAACGGGTTCCCCCCCACACACACAGAGTGAGATTGCAGGGCCGTGCAGCTACTGGTCCTTAGGTGACTTCTCTGTTTGTTAACTGAACTGTGCTTTGGTGGGGAGACCTCCTGTGCTGTGAACTGGTATGATAAAGCAGGGAGGAACTGTTGATTATTGCAGGATAAACTGAGGGCCCAATTCATTCCTGCACTAGCAGTTAGTGACCAAAAGAAGATAGTTTGCCCCTCCCCTATTCAGGAGTTGGTTTGTTTTCCCATCACCCCCAAAAGACCTAGAGCTTCTTACAAGAGAACACTTCAGGCTTGATGGCAGGATTACCATAAGTCCTGAGTAAAGGGCAGTTTGTAGCTGTACTGCCCAAGATAAAAGCCAGTTCCAATTCACTCCACGGTTGCCCCCTGGCCCAGGAGGGAAGTAATCTGTGTCAGTCCCTTATCGGGAGCAAATTACTTTTTTCTCTGCCAGCTCAGCTGCGCTTGCTGGCATATTGTGGGGGGTAAAGATAGTGCTCCAGTCATTCCTGACCCCCGCCTGTTAACTCTCTGCCCAGCTCTGGATGCTCTTCCCCACGTGCTGTGCTGGTATCCTGCACAGGCACGTAGGGTGAGCCACAATTTAACCTTCAAGGCCATAGGTGCTGACTCTGTGGGTGCTCCAGGGCTGCAGCACCCATGGGAAAAAAAAATAGTGGGTGCTCCCCCTCCCTCCCAGCACCCGCCACAGATGCTGTTCAGCGGTGTGCAGGAGGAGCTGGGGGAAGGGGGTGGAGTGAGGGTATGGTGCACTTTGGGGAGGAATGGGGCGGGAAGATGTGGGGTGAGGATGGAGCGAGGAGCAGGAAGGGGGGTGGGAAGAGGTGGGGCAGGGCCTTGGGGAAGGGGTGGAGTGGGGGTGGGACCCGGGACGGAGCAGGGGGTCAAGCATCGCCCAGGAAATTAGAAAGTCGGCGCCTCTGTTCAAGGCCCTACATTATGTGGCCACCAACTGCTGATCTGCTGGCCTGCTAGAACCAGCGCCATTGGCACTTGGATCTCACCATCCATTTCAGCAAGAATTTCACAGAAAACGCATTCCTGTTCCTAATTCATTCTCCTTCCTCTCTTCCCAAAACACATCCAGGAAGCAAAGTCTTGGCCTCCCTCTCCCTTAGAAACTACAAATCAATGACAAAAGAGAATGGCAGAACATTTCCTGTATGAACCTTTAAGTTTTTCATTCAAGAAGAATGGGTAAAAGGTCACTGACAAACTTTTCCCTTTCTCTCCCAAACCTGGCTCCTGTTGTGGCTGGCTCATGTGCCTTCCCAATAGAATGGAGGTAAGTATGTTTTCTTGTCTGTTGAGGTGTTTGTTTGGGCCAAGGTGGCTGGGAGAGGAGATGAATTATGAACAAAGAGAGTTTTGTTATATATTACCAAAACTAATGGATGAAGTGTATTGACAGCAAGAAGTAAGAACAGCATCTTAAAGAGGTTCTTGTATGTGTAACACTGTTCTTACTATACAGGTAGTTACTGGGAATTGGCTTCTAAACAAATTAAACTGTTTCTAATAGAGCAAATATACTCTGAACCAAATTCTGTTCTTAGTTACACACTGTGGCTCATGAAATTTGGATGCTGGTACTGGCTTGCCACTGTCTTACTTATGGGGTGTCCAGACAGAAAGTGTGAACAATTGGGACAGGGGGTGGAGGGGTAATAGGAACCTATATAAGAAAAAGACCCAACAGTCAGGACTGTCCCTATAAAATCGGGACATCTGGTCATCCTACTTACTTAGGGTACGTTTACACTGCACACTCCTTATGGCAGCATGTAGAGTACATACATTTCATGCTCCCTCTAGCATGGGTATCAATAGTAGTGTGGATGGTGAGGCATGCATAAGTGAATAGAGTAAAGACACACCTGATGACTCTCTAGACGTCCTCCTCTGTCTACACTGCTATTTTAGTGTCCCGCTGATGGAGTCTTTCTCTGACACAGGGAAAGGCTCCAGCAGGGAAGAACAGTGGGGAAGGCTCCAGTAGCTTCTAAAGAAAGACTCGAGCAATGGGGAAAGACCTTGACCAGGGGAGGCCTTGGGAAAAGGCTCTGGCAGCTCTCGCACTGCCAGAGCCTTTCCCCGCTGCTTGCCTGCCTGCCACAGTCTTTCACTGCAGTGTGGATGCCGCTCGCTTTACACGGCGACATGCAGCTACATGCATCCTACATGTTGCCACCACCAGTGGTGTGAAGTGTAGGCGTAGCCTTAGTGATCTTGAGCAAGACGTTGAACATGTCTATGCTGTCTCAGTCGCCCCATCTGTAAAATGGGGATGACAAGCTATAGTTATGTGCAAACTATTGACCTCTTGGACTATCACAATTAATTTACCATTTATTGAAATATCTAGTTATTAAACCATCTATTAAACCATTCAGTAAACCTTTATAAGCTATTCATAAATGGAACCTTAATATAAAGTGACTGAAATTGCTGTGGTATACTCATCCCAGTTGAAACCAAGGAGTATAGAAAGTAATAGGAGAACCTCATTTGAGATTTCCCCTCTGATTTCCAGAATGAAGATTTTTTGAATATATTTGGTTGAGCCTTTTTAAATTCCTTCATCGCATTTGACTGAAACCTATTTAGGTTCCTCTGTCACTGACCACAGAATTGGGCAAGTCATTCATAGCTGATCATTTACTCTGTGAATTCAGCCCTCGTATTCTCTTCACTAGTAATCTATGAGCAGAATTCAGTTTTTAGCATTTGTCATTCAGTGCCATTTGACGCAGATTTTAGGTGTGCATCTTTTAGTCCGTGTCTCCACAAAAATTCTTTGCAGCAACTGTTCCTTGCAGCATTTGCTGTTCAGATGATTGCACATACACATTCTTCTGAGGTCTCTGAACACAAGGAAAACATGATAGTAGCCCTGATTGTTGCTATCAAGCTATTCCTGTGGGCCGCTTGCCATAATAGTAGCTGGTTTCACAGCTGACCAGTGCAATCCTATGCATGCACTTATTGCTTCCAACTTTCTCTGGCTAAGGGTGTGGAGGACATCCCTCACCCACTGAACAGTAAAATAACAACTTTTTATAAAAATTAATACAAGTACTCCAAGAAGGAGCTGACTCTGCCATGTTTCTCATTATGACAAACATTGCTTCAGTATAGCTGCTGACATCACAGCGCTGGTTAGGAAACCTACCCTCCATAACATCTTTCTTGGAGGGCAACAGCTTACCAGCAGGCGCATATTCATGGGCTGAGGCTGACTGACACAAGCAGAAGTCTCCTGGTCAGCCCATGGAGCGTGCATAGGAATGCTGTGGTGGCAACGTTCAGTGCTGCCATCATTCCTTCCTTACTTTTTTTTAAGCAAATATTTTTTTGTTTTTAAAAGCTTGATATTGACCCCAAAGCTGGGCAATTAGAAATGTAACACAGCCAGAATAGGTCATTGGATTCAATGATTTTCAGATGATATTTTCATAGCAAATTAGGGTTGGGAAAGGCTTATGCATTTGTCTTGTTTATTCCCTTGTCAGTATGCTTTTTTTTTTTCCCCTTGAGGAAATTGAAGCTGTTCTGACAATGGGTAATTTGTGGAGGGGAAAGAAATAAAAGGAAAATATACAAATAGCTCCACTGGCTTTTCCAAACGGTTTGCATGTTGCAAATTGAACCGCATTGACCGCTGTTAAACTGACTGAATGAGCAACCAGGACAGCTGCAGCCAGGCCCCATCCCTCTGCATTTTGAACGCTCTCTGGTTAAAGTCAAGGCAGACATTCCCAGGTGCGTGCTCATACACTCCTCCTGCGGTGTAACCACTCTTCACTGGATGACTCATGGGGGTGTGGATGTCTTCACGTGAAAACAAAACTCCACGTTTGCAGTCCTTGACAGCAATCCCAGCCTAGCTGGCAGCTGCTCAATTAGTTTCTTTTAAATAAAGCCGTTTGTAATAATAATTATAAACCCCATAAATTGTCATGCTTTCTTACTATACTTATTCTGTACTAGGCCAGCCCCTTCTGCTTTTGGTCCACACTGGTAGTTCTGGGTATGCTCCAATTAAGGTGACCAGACAGCTAGTGTGAAAAATCAGGACGGGATGGGAAGGTAATAGTCACCTACATAAGACAAAGCCCCAAATATCAAGATTGTCCCTATAAAATCGGGACATCTGATCACCCTAGCTTCTATAGGTCCCCTAGCAACAATGACCCAGACACAATTCACTCCTACCTCCCCCCGCCGTGGGTCTCTTAAAGAGATATCTCCCAATTAGGCATATGGGTTACACATGCACAGATGTCTCCAGACAGAGCGGAAATCTTGTGTAAGTTGCACCTGGTTCCACGTTTGGATAGCACCTGATTGTTTTAATGGTTATATTTGTGCTGCTGCTTCTTCACTGTCTAATTAGCCTTATAAATACCGCCTTACTGATGCAACTATGCACTTCAGCCCAGATTACCGCTGTACACTTACTCCTGTGTACATTCCCCCCACCAGCAAACTGTACAAGGGTGATACAGGCTACTGCAGCACGTACAGAGGTGAGGTGTGTAGTGCTATCTTGGTGAAGGATGCTCTTGTTTTCTTCAACTCCTCCTATGCTGACCCAGAGGAGACCCAAGAGCTGCTTGTTCACACTGCCTGGACTGAACTGAAAACGGTGAGTTCATTCTGCCACCCGGCTGCTGAGTCTCTGCTGTGTAACTACATCTTCCAGGAGTGCAATCCCTCAGGAGTTGGACCGGCTCCAAAGCCCGTGTGCAGGTAAAAAACATTGACCAGCTGGGTGGATTTCAGTGAGGGCGGGGGCAGGGGGAGTTTGTCCAGACAAGAAGTGGGGATGGTAAGGAAGAACAAGAAAATTACCTTTTAATGTTTAAAACGATATAAGTGTGGCATTTTTCTTTGCCCCAGTTTCAGCTTTGTTCATCGGCTCATGGAGGTTCCGAACCCATCCCACTGAACACAATCACAAAGCTTACTTAAACTGCAGTGAGGGTGGGATCAGGCCCAGACTTCTCTGTAATATGGAGGGAAGGCAGCATTAAAGAGCAAAAGCCCTTTCAAAAATATCCCATTGGTTTTCTATCTGAAGTGCACAAGAGGTTTAATGAATGAATGAGTTAACGTCTGTAAAGTGATCTGAAGAAGAATCGTGCTATATTATGTAAATGCTAAGTGTTTTATTAGTATTGGGTCACATCATGAAGTCATTATTCAAAGTAAGGACAGAGTATGGGCTGCAGGATTTGGCCAACCCAGTAAAATAAACGCAATAAATTATTTTAACCATGTAAAAGAAAAAGGTCAAAACACAGAACAGGTCTGATGACACAAATGCCAACATACGTATTTGCATGCTCTGATGGATAACCATGCATAAGTGCCCATTGGTGCATCCGTGCTAATGCAGATGTACCTGTTTGTTCATATAGGTTGTTTGGGGAAAGGTGATAATGACTCCCAGGTGGTTCAAATGAACCTTTATCAGAGCAGTGTGCCAATCCTGAAGTCTTGCCTCAACCAAATCTCTGATTGGCAGAAATGGCAAGTAGGATGTCAGGACTGGATCCACTGAACTCAAACCAAACAGAGTCAAGTGGTCTCTCTAATCACTATTACCGCTATTGTTATATAGGGGTCCACTATCCCAGTCAATGAGGCATCCTACCAAAATCATTCACCTCTTTCAGTGCAACTCCCTGAGCATCTCTAAAAACAAGTCATTTAGGGGAAGTCCCTGTATGAATTATGATGATGTAGTGTGCATTGAATTTGGTGAATATACTGTATACTAGATTTGCCAATCCACACAGTAATCTCTCAGCCTATTTTCAGTTTATGTGACAGTATTTATATCCAAGCCAGTCACAATGTATTTGTCAAGCAAGGCTTTCTAAGGTGCTGTATTAAATATTACACCTACTGCGTTCCCTTCCCCCACCGTCCACAAGTGGCCCTCCATGGACAGAACTCCTAGTGACTCAATGGAAGTTCTATCCCTAGAGGGCTTGAAAAATTATGGGCCACAGCCTAAGCTGTATAAACCAACCTAGTTCCTGCATCAACTGAGGCTCTGGCCCAGTGGGCCTAAGGGTTTGCAAGAGAATTCAAGATTAATAGATTGGTCTGGAATGATCTATTTAAACCGCCCAGCTGTTTATTGCCCATGGTTTCATTATCACTCTGTAGATACACGCGCAATTTATATATATGTTCCATTATTTTAATATGGATTGAAGTAATATAATGACAATTCCTGAGACGACTCCCTCTTCCTGTTTTAAAGATCAAAGAGCAGTACCACAATGATTTTCTCCAGAACTGCAATACCAGTACTACTTCTGCAGTCTTTGATTTCTGAAATGTAATTGTCAATGGTTCCGAGCCCTTGGATGCATTTCAGATGGTCTTGTTGATTTGTATATATTAATTTTTCCAGTTATATTATCTGCTCTTTATCAGCAGCTTTTTATCTTTCTATGGCAATTGGCCAGACCTCACCACGTTTCAAATCTTGTTAAATTCCAGTTTTAAATAAGAAATTCAGTAACTCAGACATTTTCAAACAGATTTCACCAGCCTACTCTTTTATTAAGAGACCACTTTCTAGTATTTTTTTACCAAATTTTTTTAAAAATACCTTTCTTATTCCCTTTACTCTTTTTGGTGAGCATTAGCTGACTCGTTTAGACTGCTTGGAAAATCTCACCCTTACTGTTCTGGTCATCCTCTTTGTCATGAATGTTGGCAGTTGTCATGCTTCTGTGCTGACTCATAGGTCATTCTAAAACCATAAACCCCAAATCCATTATACAGTATATTTTCATAGGATGAGGTTCCCTTGGGACTATATGATCATCACTGATACCAGTTCAGAACAAGTCGGTAGTCTTGGTTTAACGTTTGTTTACCAGGTACAGGTACTTATCTTGTAGTTTACAAAAGGGATGACTTGTTGCAAAAAAAATCCAGTGAACACCATGAATCACAGGGAATCTCACATTCTTTCCATTTGACTCTGGAGTCCCTGGATAAGAAGCACTGGGAGAAATGGTGAATTGCCATATTTTGAGGAAAAGTAACTTCTCATCTTATGTAGTCATTGATTGGCTCCATCCTTCTCCCTGTATTGCTGGCTGGGTATGACAATAGCTCAGGCAGGAGAAGAATTAGTTAATTCCTTTTGAGATACTGCTGCTCTTAGTACTTGGTGGATCAGGCAGCAAGTAACATTTGTATGTTAAAAATAAGCTGGAATAACCAGGTGGCATCTCTGCTTCTTCTCTTAAATAAGATTCTGTTTTCCCTAGTCCGAATGGTCAGTAAGAGGCTACTGGCCCACCTGTCCTTCTGCTGATTTTGTGTATCTCCCATTTACATTACATAAGGATTCTAACAATGGTCTGAAGTCATCTATCTTTATATATGATCTCATCAAGCTCATCCTCCTCAGAATTAGGTTTTGTACGAAGGACTGCTTACATGGCCCCGTCACCATGGCATCAGAGAACTTCAGAAACATGAACGATTTTAGCCTCACAATGCCCCTCAACAGGGATGTTCATCCCCATTTCACAGGCACAAAGAGCTTAATCAACTTGCTCAGGGACACACGAGAGGTTTGTGGTAGAGGCAGATCTTGAACCTGCATCTCCCAAATCCCTGCCCAGTTCCCCAAGATCATCAATCTTCCCCAGTTCAGGGTGCGTATCTCACTCCTGTGGAATGTGCTGTTCAATTAAAATGGATATGTCTGGCTGAACTTGGTGCTTATGGGAGTTAGCAAGGAGACAGCACTGGCTAAAGGCAAGCAAGATGCAGGTAGGCTCTGTGCATTCTTCTTACACAGCTCTGCCCCTAAATAGAGCCTTGATAGCGCACTCATTGCAGCTGCCCCATCCCTTGGTAAAATATACTCCACCTCAGCTGTGCTATCACTGAACAGTTGCAACTCCACAGGGGCAGAATGTTTTATAAAGATTCGCAATGTGTTATTATTAACATTAATCCTCGCTGGGTAGTAGGGAAACTGGTGGCAACAAAATGAATAAAACTGCATCAAATTGCAATGTGGTGCTTTAGGTTACACATTTCTAGGGGTGACTGATTCAGTTACTATCATCATGTGCCAACTGCTCAACTCCTAATGATGCCAAAGCCGGTGCTGGTTTTGAATAGTAGGCAAGCCTGTGCCACAGACTTGGCTGAGTCTGCCAAAATCATCTCCACTTGTAACCGCAAAGCTAGTATTCCAGCCCAGGTTTCCAAAAAAATGAATGGCTGATAATTAACCAATTACCATCCCCCAAATCTTTCCCAATATTCTGGGTATGACAGGAAAAACTGTCTGCTTTATAAGAAAACCCAAACTGACGGCATGCTATTCCTGAAACAACTGAAAAACCATAAGCATTATTTAAAATGTCAATGAATTTCAATAATTTATCAATCACTTTCAGAGAGTCACCTGGGATGAAAAACATCAGACAGTCCTCTTTTATCTATTATTTAATATTTCTATTGACTTAGCACCTAGAGATCTCATCCATGTTGGCATTTCCTTGGACTAGGTGCTATAAAAAGGTCTCTGTCCCAAAGAGATTACAGTGAAAAAGACAAGACATAGCAGGTGGAGGAGACAATCAAGGAGACCAGAGCAGGGAGATAAGATTAAAAAAAAAAAAAGGATGTGCACAGTTCTCAGCCAATCAGGAGGTAGTAATGGCAGCTGAACACCTGGTGTCAGATTGCAGCTTTCTGTCTGCATTACGGGAGAGAGGTGAGTTTTGAGGCAGGACAGGAGGTGGTTAAGGTGACCCACAGGTGTGAACCCATGATACAGAATGACATGCTTTGAACAGAGTGGAGCTTCAAGGATTTCTCTAGAGCAAATTATTGTATTTCATGCAATGTTTCTGTTACAGTTTATGAGCTGGATTCACAGCTCGTATAAATCAGCGTGGCCCCATGGAAATCAGTGGAGCCACGCCGATTTCCAGCTAAGCATCTGTCTGCATAACTTTTGCACACCATTGTTAATGCAGTGTTTGTCAGCAAGCCATTGACTGTGTATTTCACTGTTCTTTGTAAAATAATGTAGAGAGCATTGCCTTGCGGTAAAGGATCTCTACTGCTTTAAGGAATGGCTCTCAATGGAGGAGAACTCCCAGAAAGGGATTTACAAACCAGGATTAATGCTGCTCGCTCTACCTGAATGCAACAGACTTCCCAGCCTGCACCAGGACCCCAAGGCCTGCACCAGGATTCCATATTTCGGTAACTGAAAATTCTGCTTGCTGCTGTGCTAAATGGAGTCCAGGCTTAGCAAGAGTTTGGGGAAAAGGGGAAGGCCTGAGACCAGTGAGTGATCAGGACCAAAGTGTGGGCTAGATTATGCCCCAAGAATGTAGCTCTCTTCTTCACCAGGGAAAGGGGGATTATCAGACATGTCAATCCTGCCCCCTTTCCTTGGGCTCCATGGTGGATTCTCCAGAGTTTTGGGGATCTGTGGATTGGATGGATGAGGGAGAGTGCATCCCCTTTGCACCCAGCAGTAAACCCAAATACACCCAGGGGCTGCAATAGCTTTCCTAAGAAAACCCTCTCTGCAGGGGAGCCCCTTTAAAAGAGGGATACCAGGGGCAGGAGGACGCTGGGGAGTCCTTGGCAGTGTGACTCCAAGGGAGAGGGGCCGGCTAAAAGAATCCCACTCATCACTGGAGACACATAGGGTACACTGGATTTGGCCCATGGTAGCTTTAAGTATTTATTAGACTGTGGCATGTCAAATGCCCTCTGACAAGGAAGAAGACAATTGTAAAATATAAAATGTACAAATAAAATAAGAACTGGTAGGAAATCAGCTTCCTAGGTATCAGTCTATGTAGTTGGAAGAGGCTCTTGAAGTAAATTGTAGCCTTGTAACATCTTTAGTTCTACTTTAACCTGTGTTTGAAATGCCAAATCCGGTGCACTGAAGAACGAAAGGAACAACAGTTTGTTTATTTGGTCTGATTCCAATGTACAACCCACTCAAAAACCAACCACCTTATTTTAGAACCACTGGTCTCAAAACCAGTTGCTAAACCCAGTTTTGTTAATGATAGTGTTGCCACTTTGAAGAACTGGTGTATTCACAGAGAAACTCCCCAGAGCACTTCTGGGAAAGAATGTTTTCCTACAACATGTGAGAGCACTGATAGTAGCTGCACCATTGAACAAAGATTTCAGTTAGAACATCTGTTGCTTACTTGTTGTTTGTCTTTTTTTCCTCCAGATTTTGAGACAGAAAATACAACCAGTAAGTAGATTCCCTTGGAGTTTAGAACTAGAGTCCTTGACTTGGTCTAGTTGTTTAAGATGCCATGTTGCCAACTCTCATGGTATTTGGGAGCAGAGGGGGTTCTTTCAGCCCCAACTACCTACTGGAATCAGGTTATTACCTGAAAATCTCAGTTTTCATTTAAAAAAAAATAGCTCTCAGGCTTGGGGAGAAAATGTGATCCCCAAACTTTTCAACGTCAGGAGGCAAATAAAAAGAACCAACAAATAATTCATTTTTAAATCTTGTGGGAGCCAATCTCATGATTTTGGGGGGCCTTGACTCATGGTTTTTGAACACTTGGGAGGGGGGGTTGGTAAATCCAAAGATGTTTCACGTTTAAAATATTTGCAATATACTTTTTTCTTTATGATGAGGCAAGATTTTTGCAGCATGACGACTCTGACTGTTCATCCCTTCTGTGGAGCTTTTGATTTGATAAATTGTAATGGTCAGGCCTTTGCATGTGTGTATGCGACTCCTCAGTGTAATGCCAAAAGCTCTTCATAAAGACTGCGAGTTAACCTCACTGCTTTGACTGTTTAGCATTCCCACAGACAAACTAAACAGAGCCAGGAGGAAGAATGAATGTGGAAGGGCAAAGGAGAGGAAGGGAGAAGAGAGGAGCTGTAGAAGGGTGCGGAGAGAGAGAATAAAAGAAAACAAAACAAAACCCAGAGGCCTAATCTCTTGTACTTTTGCTTCCACCCTTGGGAGGTGCTCAGATACTATAGTGCTGGGCACCTAATGCAAACAGAAGAAAAATTGGGGAGGCAAAAATAGGCTTTTCCAGATAATATTCTCTCTCTCCCCACAGCTTCCCTCAAGGTTTGGCTTCCAGAAGCAGCCATCCAAATCCCCAGAGCACTTCCCTATCATAGTGTGCTGTGAGAAATAGCTTAATTCATTACAGCTGCTCCACTTGTGCTGCTTTGACACAAATCCTTGCCAGGGCCGGCTCTGGCTTTTTGGCCGCCCCAAGCAAAAAACAAAAAAAACAACCCCCCCCCCCACAAACCTGCAGCGCAGCTGGAGTGCGGGTGCAGGGGGACCGGCTTGGGGGGGGGGGGAGAGAGGGGGAGAGGGAGAGAGAGAGAGAGAGAGAAAGAAGAGGGTGGCCAGGGGGCTACAGCGGGGATGCTGCCACGCGGCCCCTCCCGCTGCGCCACCTCCTGCCGCCTGCCATGGGGGCTCCACTCCGGTCGGCGGGGAGGGAAGGAAGAGGACTGCCCTACAGGGTGGCCGGAGCGGAACAACAACAAAAAAAGCGGCCGTGCCGCCCTAGGATTGGGCGGAATGCCGTCTCGAACAATCTGCCGCCCCAAGCACAAGCTTGCTCAGCTGGTGCCTGGAGCCGGCCCTGATCCTTGCATTTAAGGCATAGAGCTGTAGTCCTTGCCCTGCTCAGAGCGGAAGGGAGGGAGGGTGTGTGTGTGTGTGTGTGTGAGACAGAGAGAGAGCACGAGCGCATTAACCCTTTCCTGATCATTTTTGGGTCAGAGGTTTTAAATGCTGTGGCAGGTCAGAAGAGAGACTGTGTAAAAATGCTACCTTTCTGTCTAGTATCAATGGCATTTTACCAAAGGACACCTTATTTAGCTGATATCCCGCCCTCCCTCCCCCCCCCATGTCCATTCAGTCATATCTGCTGGCTTTCGGGACAAAAGTAAGATTTTAGTGCTTTTTTGTTACAATATCATTGCCAATCCATACAGCTATGGGAGAATGAGCTGGATTGTATTCCAACTCACACATAATCAACAGAGCTACTATTAACTAAATCCCAAATACAGAATCTCTGTTACTCCTTGCTCCTTCCTATGGGAGGCCTGCCATGTGAGTGGCATCTTTGTTTCCCAGTTTCTCATCACCCTTAGACAGAAACAGGAGCTATTTTTTTGGTAATTGTTTCCAACTCCAAAAGGTCACTAGAAAGTGTCTCACAGCCATTATATGGATGTTTATTTCAGACATGTGGTGTGAGTACCAAATCAGAGAGCATGGGTCACTGTGCACGGCTTTTATTTTTGTCAAGAAACAGGCTAATGCTTTAGTGGCATCTGGGTGCCAGATCAGTCATTAAACAAGTTTCAGATATTATTCACCTTGCCTTTGAAAGGGAAACTCCTAAAATATTCATTTTGTGCTGTCAGGACATTGTCGTTGTAGGGTCTGGTGTGTGTTTTCTTTCCTCTGCCAAGTGTGTAATGCAGGGAGCCCTGTATGAAGTGTTCAGGGACTATAGAAAATAAATTAAAGTAATTGAGGCGTGGAATGCAAGAGATTAAGGGATACGTGATCATCGACGATGTGTTTGATTTACTCTAGTAGCACTACTTCCATTGGTTCTTTTGAACTTGTACTGTAAATGTCCACCCTAAATATTTACACCTGCAGCCTAGGTCTGTACCCTACAGACGAGGAATGGGTAAAATCTGTTCAGACAAAATAAGAGGCCAAACCTTTTGCCCTGAACTCCAAACAAATCTTTCCTGAAGTTCAAAACTGTTAATGTAACTTGTCAGCCTGTTTCCTAATGTTGTCCCTTCTTGGCACTTCTGGTGTCTGGCCAGCAATGGAAGAAATGGTGCTGAAATAGTGTGAGAGGTAATCCTTGTGGCACTTCCAGCCGTCCCAGAAGCAGCTAGATTAGGAAACGTTGCACTTAAGCCTATTCTCACAAGATTTCCTGCTCAGTTTTTCTCCAGAGTGAATAAGCTTTGCAAATCTATCTGAACTGTATTCATTCTTTATTCTTAGTATCATTGTGTGCAGGTACCACCTACAGTGTCTAGGCTCTGTGCACACACACTATACCCTGAAGAGCTTACACTCGCATAAGACAAGCACCACATGTAGGTTGGAGAAGAGGGACACAGTCACAGAGCCCGATTCTCCCCTCTGAAGCCAGTGGACACTCTGCTGACCCCCTGCATCTCCAGGAGCTTGTGGGGACCTCTGTTGCTAGTCCCGAAGGGAGAAGACTGCCCTAGGTTACTGCCTGTCTAAGGGGGTGTGAGGCTGATCCACAGGGGTCCTGTGTTTTGGTCTCCGATTGGCATGATCTGGCCCTGGAATTTAGAATAGTCCCAGTGACTATTAGGGGGGCTTGTGCACCTTAATCCCTTACGTATTTTTGAAAATTTTCCCCTTCGTTCCTTAGAACCAACTCATTCTAAATCAGATCGGCAAACCTTTTGATGTATACGATGGTATTTAATTGTACAGTTCTAAAAGCTGTCCCTCTTTTTATTCTCAATTTTACAGGAAACAAGGAATAACTAATTTTATATTCTGTGCAGCTTTGCTTACTAGATCTGCATATGAAACAACTAGGAAGATGCTCTTAGGCTGTTTAGAGGGGTTCTGTGCTGCATTTTCTGTAACAGGAGGAGTGAATTGGATAGATGATGGACAGAATGGCTAGACTGGAATCTGAACTCACGTCATAATGGTGTAAACCTGGAATAACTCCACTAGCTCCTTTGGAGTTACACCAGATTTACCTTTGTGGAGCTGAGTTCAAAATCTATTCAATGGTGTGAACAGAAGTCTAGATAGTCTCTTGACGGCAGACTAGCTGTCTGGACACCTTAATGTTCTCAAGGGTGTTTTTTTGCTTCTAATCTGCTGGTGTGGTCATTTACTCCTATTTTATGAAATTGTTTTTCCATTTTTGATTCACTGTGCCGCAGTCCATTGTCTCACGTTACTTGTTTAAATGGCCTTTTCCCACAGCAACTTGCTACAAAGGAAATGGCAGGTTCTACCAGGGTTCTGTCAATGTCACCACCTCGGGCATTCCTTGCCAGAAGTGGAGTGAACAGGTGAGCACCACTTTATTCAGAGCTACAGTCGGGGTTGGATTTATAGTCTAATGCTGGGATATCCAAAGGAGTCTAACAGAAACTCAGTGGAAGTTGGGCTTCTGCTCTAGAAAATCTTCTGAAAATCCCAGCCTAAGTATACTACCTTGGGTGTACAAGTCCACAGGGGAGTGGGGGCAAAGATGGCGTCTGAGGAGCCAGCCGTGTGCTAGGCATCTCCCCTGCATTAGAGCAACTTGAAAACTGGCTTAAATAGTGCCAAATGCCAATGACCCCAAAGGGGTATTATGGCAGTTGCAGATCAACTGGGCAGATCTTCCTGGGTCCCTCGACCAGCATCAAGAAAGGGAGGATGGTGGCACAGAAGTCCACAAGCTAGCTGCACGCTGTCTTCACTGGGGCAATCGTTCCCTGCCTGGCACCTCAGACTTAGTGGAGGAATCCCCCAGATGCACAATAGACACACGATACAGGAGCTCATCTATTTAAGCAATTGTATTTTCCTGTAATATGTACTAGTAAGTGGAATAAAATCCCACCTATTGAAAACAATACCAAGATGGCCAGCAAATTACTCAGGCCCTGTTTAGACGCTTAATTCTCATTGAAATCAATGGGAGCTAAGTGCCTAAATATCTTGGAGGATCGGGGCCTCAGAGACAGAAAGCCAGGGAAAGTGTGGTTAAAAGGTCAGGTGTGTTAGCATTTCACCCTCATGACCGCCCCCTCGCAAGATGCAGATGTCACACCCTAACTGTCAGGGTGGTTAAACACTGGAATAAATTGCCTAGGGAGGTTGTGGAATCTCCATCTCTGGAGATATTTAAGAGTAGGTTAGATAAATGTCTATCAGGGATGGTCTAGACAGTATTTGGTCCTGCCATGAGGGCAGGGGACTGGTCTCGATGACCTCTCGAGGTCCCTTCCAGTCCTAGAATCTATGAATCTATTTTTCTTGGCAAGCTGTTGCAGACTTGCAGCCATCAGCCATTTCTAAAAACATCAGGAAGAAGTGCACTCTAAAAACACTAAAGCTAACTTATTCCTTCCCACCAGGTACCCCATTTGCACAGAAGGACCCCTCAGGTTTTCCCAGAGCTGTCAAACGCAGAGAACTCTTGCCGTAATCCAGGAGGGGAAAACGAACGTCCCTGGTGTTACACAAAGGACCATTCTGTAAACTGGGAATACTGCAGTGTGCCTCTTTGTGGAGAGGGTAAGGGACAGCAGCTGATAACTTCTCACAGTAGCGGTTAGTTTTAGAACATTAAACATTGATCCACAAAACTGTTCAGGACCGTCATATCCCCAATAGTTCGATGGTAGTTCTGACAGTCATGCCAGTTTCTTTGGACTTCAGTGGGAACAGGATTTGGCCTTAATGTTCAGAGTGCTTTACAAACTAGCACGTTCTCATAACATCCTGATTGGTAGAGAAGGGGAGATGAAGACAGAAAAGAAGCAAAGTGACTTCTTGCCCAAGGCCATGGGAAATCCAGGTCAGAGGCAGGATTAGAATTTAGGAGTTCCTGCCTCCCAGTTTGGCACCCAGGCACACATTTCTCTTATTCACAGCTGTCTGGATTTTAAATGACCATCACTGAAATAAGTGTATTGATCAAAATATACCTCAGCAAAGGCCCTTTTCACTACTTCCGCTTTCACTAAGCAGAGATCAGACGCATTGTAAGGCTCTAGCGAACCAAAGCTATGTCACTATAGCTGCACTTGAAAAGGAATGAAGGGAACAGCCTGACTTAGCTTTACTTTTAGTCTTGGCCATTACACGTACAAATCAACAGATTGCTAGCATAGCCCTGAAAGAGCTAAACCAATGCTTATATTTATATTCATGATGCTTTTTGAAATATATACTTAAACTAAAAAGAAGTTTAAATACATTTGCACCTATCAGATTTTTTTCACCACTTATTACTTTGATTCTTACCAAAGTTAATGGCATAAAAAGGGGGTTTCTTCCTTCCAAACGGCCTTCTCCTGTATGTGAAGTCATACTACTGAATTTGCAGACATCACAATAATTACCATGACAACTGGGTGACGTCAGAAGTATCGGTTAACAAAAAGTTCTGTAGAATTTAAGAGGGATGGAATAATGGTTTTTGTTTTCATTGCAGTGTCCATACCAGGAACAAAAAAACCAAGTGTAGAGACTCCCAATCTCCCTTCTTCTTTCTCCCCTACCTACTCCATGACTGTCATCATTTCCATCATCTCCAGCTTTGCATTGATAGTGATTCTCATTATCATTGCTCTTGTTTGCTGCCGAAGGCGAAAACAATGGAAAAACAAAAAGAGGTAAGCCCTAGAGATCTATAAATAAAGCCATGTCGGATTTGTTCCAGCAAATACAGCTTTGACATGGGGCTTACAATGGACATTCCAGTACTCACTAAATTCAAATGTCTGTTTCAACTCTTAAGGCCGATAGGGCAAAGGGAAATATTAGATTGGAAACTCTTCGGAACAGGGATGTGTCTTTATATGCCTGTTCATTATTTAGCACCCTGGGGCTCCAATCCGACTGGACCCTCTGGGCACTATTAATACATTAACAACAACAAATAATGCAGGCCAAAAATTCTCATGTTCTTCCATGAGACCTAGAAATCAGGACAAAACGGTGGTGGCTTGTCTAGTGCTTCAGCTTTTCATCACATTACCAGTTGAGGATAGCAGTGTTTCATTTTGAATTCTCATCACACTAAATCAAGGAACTGGTGACTTATATCCCGTATGACTAAGAAAATCACATGAACAGTAGCAAAGTTCATAACTACATAGGACCTCATGTAACCTGAGGGATCACTTGACAAAGACATCTGGAAACGTGTGTGCGATTAACATTCTGACTAGCAAACAATTGTTCTGGTTTCTCAGGTAATTAACAGATTAGAGAATGAGTTCAAGTTTAGCTTAGAATGTAAGGACCTACTATCCTAGGCCATTACTAGACAATCTAGATGTAGGAAACTTTCCTCCTTGGGGAGATTAGATGTGAAGTATTCAGTAGATATTTAGACATTGTTAAGAATCGAATGGTCAAAGGGAATTAAAAAGGAGCAACTCCAGCCCCCTCCACTTCCAATAAAACAAAAACAAAACAAAAGGCGACTCTTAATAGCGAGACTTTAGTCAATATATAAAAAGTTATCTGGACATGAATGTGGTTGAAAATAATATTTGTGGGTTTTCTCCGTCCTCAAAACCCTCATGCCCTTAAAGCAAATTCCTTAGCCCCAACCCTACTGTTTGTGGTTAACAGCCTGCACTGTTTGTGGAACAGGCCAGAAAAGAATTTTTCCAGCCACTAGATTCCTTCAATTGTCAAAAACTGAAAGGACGCTGGTTTTTTGAAAAGTGTAACTTTGCAGAGTGCTCTGCTGAGGGGTGAGAATAATGTTTGCAGGGTATCATTATTTTTTGCTGTAGGTTCTCATGTGTTAATCTCCTTTCTCTATATTGTTGCCCCAGATTACTGAAGCCTGCAAATTCTTAATCACATGAGTAATCCTGGTTCACATGGGTAGTTCCGTTGCAACTGCTCATGGAAGGACTACTCCTGTACCCAATGGCCTGCTGGATTGGCCCCTGACCTGGCAGACCAACCTACTTAGCCTAGATCCCTGGAAACAACAACAGGCAAACTGGAAATGTCCCAGAAATAACAATACAGTGTCATGAGACACACAGTAGTGCACAACTGGTAAGAAGGGGGCAGGTAGCAAAATACCCAGGCAGGCACACTGTACACTTGGCAGACCCATATCCCCGTGTTAAGGGGCACCACACTCACCCATTGGAGACACTTCCCACACTTAGTTCCACAAGGGCATACGGGGCTGAAAATGAGGATGTTGGCACGGTGGGAGCAAAGAGGCAGAACATGTATTCATGGCATGCTATGGCCTGGCAGCCATTTTCATAGATAATCACTACTCCAGCAGCAGGGCAGGTGGGCTGTCTGTGCAAGGCTGGCAAGCCACTCTGTATGGTGTGAAGAGGCCCTGTGGACAGTCTTTCTGCACCTCCCTTTTCCAGCCTTGCAGAGTCAAGCCACAAATGAGGTGAACAAAATGTTCACTCCTGACATAGTACCCTACTATGCTCTAACCCACTGATAATTTCCTTATCCATCATTTCAGGGAGTCACAAGCACCAGCGCTAACCACTCTTCCCTCAGAGCTCCTACTGGACAGACTTCATCCTAACCCCATGTATCAGCGCATACCCCTTCTCCTGAATCCTAAATTACTCACCCTGGAATATCCAAGAAACAATATTGAATACGTGAGAGATATTGGAGAAGGAGCGTTTGGAAGGGTCTTTCAAGCAAGGTAAGTGTCCTGCTAGCAAGTATTCCTTAATACTGATACCCGGAAGACATTAACATCTGGCTAGAGTTCTGGTAGCAGGAAAATGGTTGTTCATTTATTCTAACTGACATGGAGAAATTAATTGTTCTAACCAGAATGAAATGTGTGTGTGAAAGCGTGACAAAACTAATTATAAAAACTAGGCTAATTTACTCCTGTTTCCCACTTATGATTATTTGGTAAAACATTGTCACAAACGTTCATAGTCATCTTCTATATATTAGACAGAGCGTCTCACTTATTCCTGTTAATCCAGCTGAATGTGGCAGCTAAATTTATGATGCATTCAGGAAAATAAGAATTTTGCTTGTTTTTACTGTGACTAGTCCATTGTGAATTTTTTAAATTTTCCCAGGATTTCATGTTTGTTTAAGATGTTGGTACATGGTAGCCAGCATTTAAAAAAAAATCAACATTTGCTAGTAGTTACCCCCCTACTGCTATCTGTGATCCTGCAGTTAGGCCCTGATCCTGCAAAAATACCTTTACTTGCTTAGCGGGTCCTTATTCCTGAAATTGACAACAGTTTTTCCTATTTGCCAGGAGACTGGGTCATAGGCAGTCCTAGTGGTCAGAGCAGGAGTCAGGCCTAGTGATCAGAGTCCACATGCCCAAGAGAGTCAGAGTCAGGAATCAGAGCTGAGGGTCAGAACCAGAATCAGAGTCTGAATGCCAGGGCCAAGGATCAAGACAGAACTGGAGTCAGGAATGAGAGCCGAGGCTCAGAAATGGGTTACCAGGAATCAGGGAAAGCAGGAGCAGGGCTGGTTCTGAGGCAGGAGTAAGGCTGGGACAGGATGAAAACGAGGCTGGGTGCGTAGGATCTGGACTGGAGCCGTGGAAGAGTAGAGCAAGAGCAGGGCTTGGTGAGACACAAGCAGAGGGAGGCAGAGAGTCCCTGAGCATGTGCATTGAGCAGCCAGCAAGCTACTGCTGCTGCTGGGCTTAAGAACTGGCCTGCTGGCTTCCTCAGCCAGGGCTGTCCGTCAGGCATTCTAGCTGGCTCGTCAGGGTGTCAGGAACACTGAGCAGGCGTAGTTGCAGGGCCTTACTCCTGGCACTATTCTGAATTCAAGGAATTAAGAACCAATCCTGTTCCTATTGACTGCCGTGGGAGCAGAGGGCAGTCACTACTTTGCAGGTGAAAGACCATAAATCATGAGCAGTGAGGTAGACGCTCACCTACGTTACGAGTGAAGCAGGGAAGATAAAAGGATAGAAATAGTATCCCAGTGCTAGTTCTCATGGATATGAATTACTCTGAAGTGTTTTCCAGTATTGGTTTCTCTAAATGTTTTCAACAATTTACAATCAGGATTTCCAAAAGAATTCCAAATTTGCTCAATTAAACGTCCATTGGCTGCAGCGGAGCTTGTGGTACACCTCCTTTGCCATCAGTGGAGTAAGATTAGGCCAGTGATGAGCAGTTTTGAAAATCCCACCCCAGAATTGCTGAAAGGAAGTGGAGAGGCTGCAGTGTGTATTTGTTTTGGCTCCCTTTCCTCTTTTCACGGTTAATTTCAGTGATGTGCTTGTTACTTGGGACGCCTCTGCAGGATGGAACATGACTAGCTAATGAGGTTATATGTGGAATTGTATGAGAGAGAGAAACAAAATGAACATAAACAATGTACATGCTCCTCAGAATGGACATGCGCCCACAAACCTTACTTGTGGGACTAGTCTCATTGATTGGTAAGTCAAAGGAGTCCTCTTGCAAGAGCAGACATTTTAAAGGTAATAGTATGATAATACTTTGCACTGACATAGTCAGTTATACCATTGACAACTTTATTAGGAAATGAATTATGTAGTAGGTTAAATTTGTTAGAGCAAGGAAATACTTCTACTGGATGCGAGACATTTTTTGTCCCCCCCGAAGGGATGTGAAGGAAGTGCACATTTATTTATACAGACAGTGTTAAAAATAACAGTTTAAAGGGCACACAGCAGCAAAATCACAGATGCTTAGCTTATGATTGACTGTTAGCTTTGATGGCTAAACTACATGAGTTGAGTTTGAAGCAACAACAAAGCACATGGGACCAGATTAAAAACTGTGCGCCGGATGCCAAGTGCCACTCTGATGAGGCAAAGCAGCCCTACACGCAGTGTATCTGCCTAGCTAAACCAAACATCTGGAACACACTGGTGAATATAGCCCATCATTTTATTTCATACTGGGTAAAATTCACATCTATGCAGACAGGCAGCACAAGGACTATGCCCCACTTAAGACCACTTGAGCTCTATTTTGAGGGTACAGGCCAGGGATCGGCAACCTTTGGCCCGCGGCCTGCCAGGGTAAGCCCCCTGGCGGGCCAGGCTGGTTTGTTTACCTGCCACATCAGAAGGTTCGGCTGATCGTAGCTCCCCCTGGCTGTGGTTCGCTGCTCCAGGCCAATGGGGGTGGCAGGAAGCGGCGTAGGCTCAGGGATGTGCTGGCTGCACTTCCTGCCACCCCCATTGGCCTGGAGCAGCGAACCGCAGCCAGTGGGAGCCACAATCAGCCGAATCTGCGGACGTGGCATGTAAACAAACCGGCCCGGCCTGCCAGGTTGCCGATCCCTGGTATAGGCTATCCCTCTGCACAGGGGTGAAATTGACCCAAACAGAAAGGCACCTATACAAGGCAATTCAACCCTACTTCAGCTGTGTGTTAAGTGAGCCTTAAATGGTATATAGATTTTTACGTAGGCCCCATTGACTTGGGTGAATTCTATCCATGGTGAATTTCCTCAGAATAATCCTCATCCCGCCAGATTCCCACATGTAATTTTCACTGCATTTTGCAATTCCTTTTAATAGAACGTTTTTAAGCGATACTTAAAGAGAACCAGAAAAGAGCATGATGTGTAGGAACACTAAATAGAAAGGTACTGTGCTTTGGGAACTACTGTTGGCCTTGGCTTGATGGAGAAGCTCCAGCCATCCTGATTTCTGAATGGGTTTCCTCCATATTGTTGGTGTTATCCGCTCACCTCGCAGCTTCATCAAGAATGCCTCAGAAGCCGAGCATTTCCTGGGCAAAGGTTCGCAGCTGGCATTGCTGCACAGGGTTGGTGGATAAAAAAAAAAAATTTATGGTTCTGTTAGCTTCCAGTACTGCCAGGATGGAGCACTCAAGCTACCACATGAGAAATAATCTTTCCGTTCTCAGAAAGAAAATTAGATTCACTGGCCTATGTATGTTAATGGATGCCGCAGAGTAAATTTAGTAAGCCTCTTATTTCTCCTTGTATAATATTTCATCCCTGTAAACATAATTCTACACACCGTGCCAATAACCTCTTTGCCAGTTGGCTTCCTTAAAATTCTGATTCACTATTTACTTATTCTTGGGTGAAGCAGCATGTCAGGACAGGAAGTGACTGGCTGTTATTTACTGGCTCCCTCTGAACGTTCTTAATACAAATGGCAGCCTGTCTCCTGCAGTGGGAATTGAGGATGTAACAAGTTACCGTCACATCTGTCTTAAGAACAAGATCAGTAGCCAGGCTCACATAAGCAAAGCTGGGGCCGGCTCAAGACCTCCTAATAAAAGTAGTTTTGAGCATTATTTTATGCATCGTTGACACTCCTCTTCTAGCTCTCAAACCACATGATTCTACATAGATCAGCATGCAGCTGCCTTCTTCAGTTGGAGCTCAGCGGCCATGGCCCAGCATATCTAACAGATCATCTAAAACTCTGGGATTAAGACCATGGTCAACAACTGCACTCCTCAGGCACAATAGACCTTGCTACCATACGGGCAGACGTAGCTCCTGAGTCCGTCTGTGTGGGTAACTCTGTTTCCATTACTGGTCAGTTCTTTGTGCTGGTTGTCAACTATGAGCTAAATTCTTCAGCTAAGCACCACATCCTATCCTGTTCTGCTCAGATGCATAGTGGGCAGAAGGCATAGACAGCTTCCTCCACCCCATACACTGTCGTGCACTGGCAGCATAACATTTAATCCAAGCACTGGAGAGACATGTACTAGCAAAAACATCAGATGGTGCAACCTGGTCCCAGGAGGAAATAATCTATTGGCTAGGAGTCCCCCAATTTTCAGCCCTGGAAACTGAACTCCTCTGTTTAATATCAAAACAAGTCATTTCCGAATATTGCCCTGGAAAGAGCACTCTGTGGATTAAAGGGTTCTGTCACTATACCTCTCTGCTAAAACTGTTAACAAAGACACCAATTAGTTCCAAATCATGGTGATTTTTTCAATATAGATACTTGTCTACTAAGAACTCGCTCAGCATGAAATTCATAGAATATCAGGGTTGGTAGGGATCTCAGGAGGTCATCTAGTCCAACCCCCTGCTCAAAGCAGGACCAATCCCCAACTAAATCCCCAAATGGCCCCCCTCAAGGATTGAACTCACAATGCTCAAACCACTGAGCTATCCCTCCCCCTAACCCTCGTGCAAAGCTCATGCACTGCTTAGGCCCCACTTAATTTACACTTTCAGGATTTAAGAGGTACCTAGGCTTATTGCCAGCCTCTGCACCGGGGTGAATTTCTCACTCAAAAGAACACCATGTGAAACCTGTGTTGCCTCTTATTTCTGTTCCCTATAAACCCTTCTAGGCTTTTGATCAGGTGTAATGAACCCTGGATACTAATCAGAAGAGGTGAGCTCCCTTATCTTTCTTACACTCACATTATCTATCAATAACTACAGATCACTTTCTCAAGCACCGAAACATGTGCCACTGACTGGTACATGAAAAGAGTATTGTCCCTACTAGCACACTAGAAGTTCCGATACCCACCAGAAGGCACAAATGGCATTTTGCTTTAAAGGCGGCAATTGTAGAGAAAATGAAGAATCCGTTTTATTGCTCCTAGGTTCTGGATCTCAACAGACAAACTTTTCAGCCGTAATACTGGCTTGCCTTGGGAGATTTCTTTTTAGATGGGCATTTTGCCATTCTGTGACATTTGACAATGATGTGACATTTACAGTAGGCAAGTGCATCTGTTGCAATGCCATCAGTCTGCAGTAGGTGACAAGGAAACTGGAAGTTTGCTTTGGAAACTAGAACCTCTCATGGCTACTGAACGGTAAAATAACCTAACACTTAAGCAGTGGAGGATCAGCAGGTCAGGTGTAGTAACAGAATTCACAAATGGATGCTACCTTTTATAGGCATTAGATGGCTACATCCAGGAACTGTGTTATAATGCTGAAGGCATGGCTTCCATATCTCCATGGGTAGGAATTACCTAGAGTAACAAAACGTACACCGTTCCCATAGCTTTGACATCCCTAAGTCTTTGGCAAGCTCAGGACCCAGCCTCTGTAATTAAAAGTGTTAAGGGAAGAGTGCCCCATGGATAAGAAAAATATTTATATCACAGTGGTGGCTAGAGGCTGCGACTCAGAAAAAGGCCTCAACGAGACGTCCTGTAGCCTAGTGGATTGGGCACTGGACTGGGACTCAGGGATCCCAGGTTCTGCTATTAGTCTGCCAGGCAAGTTATAGCACCACCACATGCCTCAGTTTCCTCTATCTGTGAAATGGGGATACTGGCCTCCTTTGTAAAGTGCTTTGAGATCTGAAGATGAAAAGGGCTATGTAACAATATTGTTAGTGCAGCATCAGTAAGTGACAAGACAGTGATTTTCCCTAAGTGCCAAAGCAGGTCAGTGACAGAACTGGAAATGGAGCCCAACTCTCCTGACTCCCAGCCTCATAATCTTTCTCCTAAACCATGCAGCCTCCCAGGCTGTAGAAATCTTCCATTTATAGCATGTTACAACAGCTGTTCCTGGGCAGGCTTGTAAGCAAGCAAAGCTCAGCAAATGCTACTGTCCTCTCAAAAATATTCAAAAGGTAGAGCTGGCAAAATGTGCAGGACTGACTAAAGGGGGTTTAAAGTCCTCAGATACCCACAGAACAGACACAACAAAGGCAGCAATAGCGCCACCTTTCCCACACACTGGCCATGTGTCTTACACTCCTGCCAAGGAGGAGTCACCTCTAAAGGTGAGGTGGGTTTGATTTTCATGCTCCTTCAGTCCTTGCCCTCTCCTGAGATTGCCCAACAACGCTGCAAAATAATTCCACTTGGGGGTCACTGTTTTGAGACCCCCTTCCCCAATCCCGGCTTTTTTTTGTCTGGGATTTCTAATGGGAAATGGAGCTAACATTGTGTGTGTGTGTGAGTGCGTTTGCGCAAGTGCAATACCTCTCGTCCTATTTAGAAATGTTCTCTTTCTCCTAGGGCTCCTGGATTGCTTCCTTCTGAGCCATTCACAATGGTGGCAGTGAAAATGCTAAAGGAAGAAGCTTCAGCAGACATGCAGGCTGATTTCCAGAGGGAGGCGGCTCTCATGGCAGAATTTGATCACCCAAATATCGTCAAACTGTTAGGTACAAAAACAAAATGCTAAGCTCTTGGGGTATGATTTTTCCAGGAATCAATTTGTCATCATTTTGGGTCTAAATTTTCAAAAACGTCATGCACCTAAGGTTGCCTGCACAGGATTTGCAGTTATATGAAAATTGCAAATTAAGCAATGGGCAACTGAAATTTGCTTTTGGCAAGGCCCTAGGTTTGTTTGTTTGTTTTTTGGTACATGCCATTGCATGTTTTTTGCATTCTCTATTGGCACACGTTTGAATATTTAGCTCTAATACCATTTTTGTTACACTGAGGCAGACTAGTTTTCATATATGGCCATCTAAATAAGAACCAAATCCTGCAGTGGGGTTCAAGCATCATCACTTATGTTAGTCTCTGTATCTCTTTGTTAAGACTCTTAACACAGACACCAGTTAGTTCCAAATTATGGTGATTTTTGCAATATGGATATGATGCTAAGAACTGGACTCAAACCACTGAGTCAATTCACTCAGGATGAAACTCACTGTTGGGCACAGAGAGACTACAGGCCGGTACATACACATTTTTCTGCCTGCAGTTGAAAGATGTGGGTGAAAATCTGATTGCTTACACCTTGGCTGTATGTACAAATGAACTGGCTAGAGATGCATTTACTCAGAATTGCTATTCATTTTGCGGGCGCAAAACAGTGGGTGCTAATTTTGAGTGCACAGATTGTCTGTTACTCATATGGCTCCCATGATTGTGTTGCCTGAATACCTCATTGAGTCTTTAAAAATAGAAACAACAAGAATAGTCTCCCTCTCCTCCTCCCTTTTGGCAGACTGTCTGAAAATAGCTTGATAAATTTATTGAGTTTCTTAGAGGGAACCACCTCCATGGTGGGCTAATGGGGGGTCCCGTGTCATTCTTCCATGAAGAAATCTGACCACCAGAATTTTATCCCTGCAAACATCATCTTTCAGCTGTGGTAGAGGTCATTAACCAATGTCATCAGATGGTTCTTCTGTAAACTCCCTGAAGGTAGATTTGGCCTTTGTCATCTAGTAATCAAATCTCCGTTCATATCAATAGGAACATTTTCAGGGAACGTTATCCATAGTGCAGGAATTCTGTAGGCAATCTGATTTCATGAAAGCTGACCTGACATATGTACTTGAGCAACAGAAGAGAGGAACAGGAAGTGCCCTAACTTAGAATCAACTTTTTGTTTATTGTTAACACATTGGATAAATTTGGAAAGGCCAAAGATACAGGAATTAACTGGTTTTATATTGCAAGGGTGTGAGGAAATGAACACTATTTGACCTATAAACCTTTCACATTGCTTTTCTCGCCAGAACCAGATGTTATCACGTTGGGAAATGTCTGTTCTTTCTCTGTCATTGGCAAGAATTTCATATTTCACAATAAGCCATATCATTGACTGTACTGAATGGCAGTCCTAAGAAAGCAAATTGTGTACGATTTGAACACGGCTGGTTGCACTGGTTTTCAGTGGCTGGCAAGCAGCAGAATACTGGAAATGCTCTTGTCTTTTTGGCCAGCTCTAAAATTGGTTTAATACTGTTATTTATTGAGTAAAACTGTGTGAATAATTTGGAAATCTATTAATTGAATAATTTGTTCATTCATTGAATGTTGAAAAAACAAAAACACAGAATAAAGAATCTAGAGACAGATCTTCAAAAATGCCCAGCATCCGGTAGTTCCCATTGAGAATAATAGCTGTTTATTGTAATAATAGCAAAAATCTTGCCCTCCATAAATAATAATTCCCTTTCAAATTCAAAGGAATATTTGCTGATCATTTCTTACATCTGACACCTAGCTCTTCTCATAATTACAATGCTTTTTTCTTTAAGATACAAAAGATACCCAGTACATTTTGATAGTATACTTGTCTCTAGTTCACTCAGCTGGTTATGAATTTGTTTGAAAGGATAGTTATAACTCCCAAGGGAAAACACAAAATTAAGATATTAAATGTTTCACAGATATTTGTCTTAACACAGGAAACTTGCTTTTATTCCAGGATACACATCATAAGATATTTGGTGAAACAGTAGAAATTGGTTGTGTGTACCTGAGTTGGGCAAAAATATAGTCTTTTATAAAGAAATGTCAAGGAAAACTTAGAATTTTCAGAAGGAGCACAGAAGCTTGGTTTAGGAAACTTCCACTATATTAGATTGTAGGCTCTTAGGGGGGGGAGGGACTGTCTGTTTATTTTTGCCTTTGTACAGTGCCTATAGCACAATGGGGTCCATGGCGAAACTCCTATTAATGTGACTTTGACCAAGATTTGGTTCTTAATCAAATGAAGGCATCCAATTTTTTTTATTTTGGGGTATCAGAGTAAATCAGCCAAGCACACTACATTTTTTCCCTCCCCTTGGAGTTCAACATTAGAAGATTAACAAAGGCACAGAGAAAGTCAATGAAAGCCAGGGGGATTTGAGGGCCTAATTTGTATCTGTGCTTTTTAAAAAATTTTCCTCTTCAGTTTTATTTCTGTTTTGTCATACCAAAAAAAGAGACAAGACTGACTTGGTGTATTTTCTTGCTTTCAGGGGTGTGTGCTGTTGGGAAACCCATGTGTCTGCTGTTTGAATACATGGCTTACGGGGATCTCAATGAGTACCTGCGCACTCGCTCACCGCACAACCTCTGCAGCCTGAGCCACAGTAACCTTGACGCCAGGATCAGGCTCTCCAATCCCAACCCCCTCGCTCTGTGCTGCACCAATCAGCTCGGCATTGCCAAGCAGGTGGCTGCGGGCATGGCGTACCTCTCAGAGCGCAAGTTTGTGCATCGGGATTTGGCGACCAGGAATTGTTTGGTGGGCGAGAACAGGGTGGTAAAAATCGCTGACTTTGGCCTCTCCAGGAATATCTATTCAGCAGATTATTACAAAGCCAATGAAAACGATGCCATTCCCATACGCTGGATGCCCCCCGAATCCATATTCTACAACCGCTACACCACCGAGTCTGACGTGTGGGCCTACGGCGTGGTCCTGTGGGAGATTTTCTCCTATGGCATGCAACCCTATTACGGGATGGCTCACGAGGAGGTGATTTACTACGTGAGAGATGGCAACGTCCTCTCTTGCCCTGACGACTGCCCTTTGGAGCTCTACAACCTGATGCGCCTTTGCTGGAGCAAGCTGCCTTCTGACAGGCCCAGTTTCGCCAGCATCCATCGCATCCTGGAGCGTATATACGAGAGAGCAGTGGCTGCTATCCATGTCTGAGGTGCGTACTGCAGCATGACATTTCATCCTCATCCCATGCCGCTGGCCCACTCCTCAGTCACAACTTCCCAGCTGAACCCAAGGGGAGTTTTCTGAGTGAGGGCTGCAGGCTCGAGACCAGTATGTTTAATCTGCTAAGCCGAAAAGGTAAAGGGGAGAGACTGTACATGCCAGATGGGACTTTGGGAGTGGTGGCCACATTAGAGGAGGCCAGTTTTGCTGAGAACAGAAGCATCTTGTTCATCAATCAAGGCGCAAGTTCTCATTTTGTCTTTATAAACAGGATTTAGCTTCTGAACTAGTGAACTAATTTGCAGTAGAGTCAAGGCCTAGACTCCCTTGAAAACCAGTGAGTCCAGTCCTTATTGCTGCAAATTAGTTCAATAGTTACCGTTTATGATTTCTAAGGAACAAACAAAACACTCCCCTCAAAGCAAAACTTTCTGTTGACTTTAATTTCCCTGCCTTCCCATTCTCTCGTGTTTAGCTTTTCCCTCTTTTCCTCTTCCCTTTCTGCTTTCAAATCTCATTTTTTAAAATCTCCCTTTTTTGGTTTCCTTTAAATATTTTTGTACATATTCACCCCCTTTAAAAAAAATCATATTCTTTATCCCATTTGTTTTTCTCTCTTTAATTTCCTTCTTCTCTCTCTCACACTCTAAGATTTGCCGCACAAGATCAGACCATTAGCCTGTCACATCCTGCACCGAGCAATGGCCAATGCATGATGCTACACAGGAAGGTAAACTCCCATAATGGGCACTGACCGCTGCCACTGAAGTCAATGAGAGTTTGCCTGAGTAAAGCTGAACATAAAAAGTGAGGGCCAGATTGGGCCTGCTGCTCCATGGATGTGTGAGGCAGGGTGAGGAAGGGTATAAATCTCTGTGCCTGCACAGCACAACACCACTGCAGTTCCTGGAGCACAGGGACTGCTCCCCCGCCCCCGTACCTCTTAGATAAGAAACCCCTCAAGACGAGGTAGGGTCCCTCCCCTACCACTATGCACTGGCTGTGGGAGCAGGCCAGACACAGAGAGTAGGCTGCCTCCCCTGAAGGGATCCAGCAGTGGGAGCACTCCTCCTGCATGTGGGTTGCTTTGGGAAGAGTGCTGCATCTCCAAGGTGGAATTCCTCTTTGTGTTCCAGGTAAGGCAAAATGGGTCTACGTAGCCTCCAACAAAGGGCTCATAAAGGACTCATAGGCTCAAGTGAGCCCTCAGTAAGGACTTTAGTATTTGGCCCTTCAAAATTTTGCCTCACATAAAATTTATCCAATGATGAACACTTGAACTGAGGAACAAAATGAACCCTTTAGCAGACTGAGCTATCTCAGCAAAGGAAAGCGTTTAAAAATGAACTTCCAAGTTGTTTCATCGTATTGTCTGCCAAGGGCAATTTGAATGATAGCTCAAACAGAACAATAGTTAAACTCGGGAGTGGAGGATGGAAATTTTCTTTTCACTCTTTGTCCCAGTGGGCCCTGTTAAGCCCTTATGAAATACTCTTCAGTTTTGTTATGTGCACAAGTAATGCTGAAATATTATTCTGATGATGTTACAATCTTTGTCAATGCATACTGGATGGTTGTAGAATTAGTGTTAACCTTGGAGTTATAAACTCATCCTGAGTCACACTTTTATACACTTCAATAGGAGCTCATGAGTTCTACATGCAGAAAAAGTGCAGGATTAGGTTCTAAACCTGTTCCCAGTAAGATATTTCCTAATTTTACATTCAGATTAAAAACTGTACTTATACACTAGAGGTGCTCACCTTACGTTTTTAAATGCCTTGGATCAAAAATGATGGTGTTCAAATCTAATCTCCAAGAATGGGCGGGGGGTGGGGGTGGGAGGATTTTCACAAGCACTCAGTTTTTTGCCTGATTCTGCTCCTGTTGATGTCAATGGTGCAATTCTCATTGATCACAATGACAGCAGTTAGGCAAATGCTGAGCGCTTGTGGAAAAAACGTAACACCCCAGATTCATAGGCCTTGTGCATAGAGGTGAATTTCACCCTTAGTGGAAGCAGCTATAGAGCAAGGGTGTCATCCTGTGGAGAGGGATACATTCAATTTTAAATTATGGTTCAAGGGCTGGGGTGTAAGTTTAGGCCTAAATACTCTCCTCAAACCGCAGCACAACTCCCACCAACTTCTTAGATTGCACCAAGATCAAGGGTAATATGTGGCAATGTAGTAACTAAACTCTTATCATTCATTACTGGTTCAGAGTCTTCTCGTCACATCCAGCATCACTCTGTAAGAAAATCCCCTCTCCTTTAGCAATGCCACTGTTTCCTCATCCCCGTCTGTTTTCCCTCCCTCTTCTCAGTCTATAATTCGTCTCTATTTTTCCTTCTCTGCTGCAGATCCCAGTTCCCATATGTTGGCCTCACTCCCAACCCTTTTGATGTTCCTTGTGCTAAAATTATCAGCAAGGAAATAGTTAGTGCTGATATGCAGAGTGTCACTAGGAGACAGCAGATGAATTGGGGTGCCAGGGAGTTCACACCTTTGGCAGCTATTGTTTCAGGCTGTCTGCACACTCAGGAAGACAACACTGCATCAGTTATTTGCGGTTCAGATCTGGCCTGCAGACATCTCTGACCTAAGCTATGGCTACACTAGAGAGTTTACAGCAGTGGAGCTGCACCGATGCAGCTGCACCACTGTAAGCTCTTTAATGTAGCCGCCCTAAGCCAGCGGGAGAACCCTCTCCCGTCAGCTTAACAACTCCAGCCCCGCAAGTGGCAGTAGCTGTGTTGTCAGGAGAAGCTCTCCCACAGACATAAGCGTGGGTGTGGGCAGCATTTAGTCGGTGTAACTTACGTCGCTCATGGGGGTGACTTTCACACCCCTGAGCGACATACGTTATAGCACAGTAAGTGCTAGCATAGACATAGCCCTAGAGTTTCTTCTCTGGTAAAAAGTATGAGTACAACCCCTGCAGGTGGTGTTTTTCCTGAGGAAAATTTAATATTTTCAGAACCAGTTTTTATCTCTTGGTTCCCAGAGAAGATAGAGAGGAAAATTATCCAGTTTAGAATCCAGGATCCCATAGTTGTATCTAATATGTAATCAGGAAGTGACATATTGTTCATCCCAGCAAAATGGAAGCTCTAGAGTAGTAATTAATGGGCCATCGTGACTTCTGTGTTTTGTCAAGCTGTTTGCTTTCATCTAGGAGTCACCACAGAAGTCAGGCCATTAAGGGGTCTCAAAAGTGGGATTTATTAGTTGGAAAATAACCAGCAATAAAGCCAGCAATAAGGAAAGCAATGCAGAAAAGCAATGCAGTGCTCTAGGTTTTTATAAACTGCAGTTTCAGCTCTGCTTCATGACGTAGTCACATGTTTTCTTACATAACCATCATTCAAAACATTTTGGTTACAGCCACAAGAGCATGGCTTAGTGTTTATAAACCACGGCTGCTTATTTCACCCAACCTAGGAGCTCGCCATTACCAGAAACAGTGCAAAGAAATAAGCTGCTTCCTCTGGCCATAGTAGGGAGCTGCAGTCCCTGCTATGGGATGTTGTGATAAGAGTGCGAGGGCACATGTAAATTGTACACAGTTACCCACACTGCAGTGTGTATGGCCCAGAAGTCTCACAGCCACCCTGTTGACCGAGAACTGCTTACATAGGTCAGGACACTGATATAATATCAAGAACCGCTGCTCCAGTAGAAGAATGATCTCCGCTACTTACATGGTCTTCATTACTGTAGTATTTGAGGCTAGAGAAGTGCTATAATCCTATTTTAGAGTAGAGTAACTGAGGCACAGACTCCACAAAGAGACTAAGTGACTTGCTCCAAGTTACACAGGATGTCTGCTGCAGAGCAGGGACTAGTGCCGAGGTCTGCCGAGACCCAGGCTGGTACCCCGCCCGCTGGACCATCCTTCCTGCTCTAAAAAGGAAGGACAGTCTTGTGGTGAAGGCACTGGACAGGGACTCAGGTAATCTAATTTCAGTCCCTGGCTCTGTCATACTCTTCCTGCGTGACAGTCAGTATCCTCTCTTCTAAGTAAATACCTCTGTGAAACAAGCACCTCTATCTCTCCCAGGTACCACTCCTCCCTAAAGGTCTCAAGAGCGGATTTAGATTTACAGAGCGGCTGTACTCTAAACAAATAAATACATTTAAAATTTGAGAGATTGAACCTGCATTTTCTCTTTCTATGATTCCAGTGCTGGCTTCAGCTGATCACCCCTCCTCCTTTCCCCTCACCTGGCATAGGAAGTCCTGAAACCCTGACTGCCGTTTCCATGTGGCTTTCATGATATTTCCAGCCCGCCCAGTTAAAAGCTCATAATCTCACATGCTATAATCTTTCCTCACTCCGCAACTGAAAAAGCGGATTCTCATTGGAATACTACCCCTTCTTGTTGCACTTTCCTAACCAAGTCCTTCGCTCAGTGACACCGTTTCAGCCCCATTAAGGTCAATAGGGATGTACCGGTGCAAACAAGAGGAGAATTTGGTTGTCCTTGTCCAGCATTCCAGCCTTTGCAATATAAGAGTGAACCTGAAATCTATGGTAGTTAGCAATTGTTCTTTTAAATGCAACAAAGAATATTTCCACCCTTTTGCTAGGAAAAGATTTTTTTTCCCCCTCCCATGCAAAAACTTCCCATGATATGGGTAGAACTCACCCTTGTGTTGAGGACCACCAGCACCTAGGTTATTTAAATGATTCCCTATTTTGGGGATGTAAGTGGTGCCCAGACCTAGTGCTGGTGCTGTGCATGTGAGTGAATTTTATCCTGAGGATTCCTGCCTGTTGTATATTTTTCAGCTTGCTGTACAGAAATTGCATTATTTCAGTTTTTTTCCTTTGTTTGAGATTTCAGCTTTGTTACCGTATGTTTGCTACTAAGAGGAATATACAGTTTTCTGTTAACAATTTACTTATTAAACTCAAATTGTTTTTAATGTGGGTTGAAGGGGGAGTGGTCTCTTGTTTAAAACAAATTGAAAGCAATTTTTTTTGTTTTGCTGTTTCTTGTTTGGATTTAAGTGTTCACGAAGAGGATAGTACAATTTCAAGTAGATTTGATTTCACATCATGTTTGACAAAAACATTCATAGCATATATGAAGCTTTACCACGGAGGACATATAGTGTGAAGTGACAAACCAGAAAATCCAAGAGATACAGAAATCCACCTATTCATATTTTTATAGATTTTAAACAAAAATTAAATACATTTTGCATGCTCGGTTTCATACTTTTTAATGGTCTTTTGTCAGCAACATGATGCAATCTTGGCCAAGAAGAAGTGCCTCAGACGTATCATGGACTAAACCTGATAGAAAGAATCTGATTTAGATTAACCAAACAGGCTATAGACACATGTTCTGGTTTTATAATCTCCTGTAATTATCTGTATATTTCACAGCAAATTTTGCACACTGGTACAGCCTGTGTAATTCTGGTGTGTAGTGTTTTATAAAATAAAGGTATATCATGGGGAAAAAAGAAATGGGGGTACTCTTTTTATCCACCCGGCCTCCTAAATTCATGGCTTCGGAGTTTTGATACTGGGTAAGTTATTGATCTATTTCATGTCAGAACAGAGGGTTTATTACAGCTTTATTTTCATTATGTTTATATTAAAACTATAGTTCAATGTTAATGGAGGGCACTAATTATGGATCTAACGACCTGTATCCAGAGCACATAGGTACTACCTGAAATAAAGGTTACACTTTATATTGAGGGTACATTTTTGTTTCTAATACCTTATTTTGTAATCCTTTCCAAAATGTAGGACTAAGTAAACAAACATTGTATCAGCATCTAACAGCCAGAATAAATCAACAAAAAATGCACTAGAGAGCCATTTATTTAAAAACCATTTTTTTTTACAAACATTTGAAAACCATGTGTCTTTTTACTGATGTGCTGTAAATCAAATACTGTTTATAGACCAATAAATTTATCCTGCAGCATGAGTGCAAGCACTGAATGTGTGTAAGTGAGCATGCATGCAACTTTGTATGTTTATCTGCTGTCCCCCAGGACTCATGTAAATGCGATGCGATCGTGCATGAATTTATCTAGGCGAGAAAACTTTTATGTAAACAAACAACTCCATGGAAGAGTGGGACTGCATTGAATAAAGAATCACTGGATGAATGAAAGAGGGTTATTCACTCTCTGGGATGGTGAGCTCACCCAGGGCTAAATTTATCTTCTTATGTAGAGGCATATTAACTTCACAGCAATGATACTAGAGAACAGGCAGGCTTTAGTTACAGCAAAGACTGGGGAGCGTCTAGGGTCCTGCTGAAAAGCAGGAGGATGACACAGTATCCCTGTGAGGAAGGAACATCAGGGAACTGGAAGTTCTGCACGTGAGGTACATGACATTTTCTTCATGGATGAAATGCCAAACATACTCACCCCCGGCCTAAAAGCAGCCAGAACTTTAAGTTTATTTGGATTCTAGTAACTTCTGCTTACAGTCCCTCATTGTTTGTTATTGTTCTGATGAATTATTTGTATTGCAGTCAAGCCGAGAGGCCCCAATCCCATTGTGCAAGGTCAGTATGCATGCACAACAAAAAGAGGTTTCCTCCCCCGAACGAGTTTACATTCTACATGACAGGTTTCTGCTCAGTTCTTATTTAGTTATGGGTTGTGAAGCAGGAATTCCCATCTCACTGTGGTGTCTGACTATGCATATCGCATAACAGAGTTACAGCTCTCAGTGGGTTTGCATGGCTCCTCCTCATTTGGAAAAGACTCCTGGCTAGAACCGTACACAATGTTCGGAACAAATCCTGAAACCATGCCAAGTCACCTGCGTGTGGGAGTCATTACTAGCTCAGAGCAAGTTCATTAAAAGGTTTGTGGGAGCCTTTCAGCTGAACTTAGGCTCCACTTCAAGTGAAACTGGGCTGATTTGCAAATCAATGAGCAAACACCTAGAAGATAAGGTGATAAGTAACAGTCAGCATGGATTTGTCAAGAACAAAATCATATCAAACCAACCTGTTAGCTTTCTTTGACAGGGTAACAAGCCTTGTGGATGCAGGGGGAAGTGGTAGATGTGGTATAGCTTGACTTTAGTCAGGCTTTTGATACTGTCTCGCATGACCTTCTCATAAACTAGGGAAATACAACCTAGATGGAGCTACTATAAGGTGGGTACATAACTGGTTGGAAAATCGTTCCCAGAGAGTAATCATCAGTGGTTCACAATCATGCTGGAAGGGCATAATGAGCGGGGTCCTGCAGGGATCAGTTCTGGGTCTGGTTCTGTTCAATATCTTCATCAATTATTTAGATAATGGCATAGAGAATACACTTATAAAGTTTGCAGTTGATACCAAGCTGGGAGGGGTTGCAAGTGCTTTGGAGGATAGGATTAAAATTCTGAATGATCTGGACAAACTGGAGAAATGGTCTGAAGTAAACAGGATGAAATTCAATAAGGACAAATGCAAAGTACTCCTCTTAGGAAGGAACAATCAGTTGCACACATACAAAATGGAAAATGACTGCCTAGGAAGGAATACTGAAGAAAGGGATCTGGGGTCATAGTGGATCACAAGCTAAATATGAGTTAACAGTGTAATGCTGTTGCAAAAAAAGCAAACATCATTTTGGGCTGTATTAGCAGGAGTATTGTAAGCAAGACACGAGAAGTAATTCTTCCACTCTACTCTGCGTTGATTAGGGCTCAACTGGAGTGTTGTGTCCAGTTCTGGGTGCCACGTTTCAGGAAAGATGTGGACAAATTGGAGAAAGCCCAGAGAAGAGCAACAAAAATGATTAAAGGTCAAGAAAACATGACCTATAAGGGAAGATTGAAAAAATTGGGTTTATTTAGTCTGAAGAAGAGAAGACTGAGGGGGGACAGGATAACAGTTGTCAAGTACATAAAAGGTTGTTACAAGGAGGAAGGAGAAAAATTGTTTTTCTTAACCTCTGAGAATAGGACAAGAAGCAGTGGGCTTAAATTGCAGCAAGGCAGTTTAGGTTGGACATTAGGAAAAACTTCCTGTCAGGGTGGTTAAGCACTGGAATAAATTGCCTAGGGAGGTTTTGGAATCTCCATCATTGGAGACTTTTAAGAGCAGGTTGGACAAACACCTGTCAGGGATTGTCTAGATAATACTTAGTCCTGCCATGAGTGCAGGGGACTGGACTAGATGACCTCTCGAGGTCCCTTCCAGTTCTATGATTCATGGATTTGCCACAGTAACACACCAGGCAAACAACAGTCCTGGAGTGGCAGGGAAAAGATTAGATCAGTGTTTCCCAAGTGATGGGTTGGGACCCACCAGTGTATTGCAGAAAGGTCCCAGATGGATCCCCATGTCCCCGACAGATTAAACCATCAGTGGGCTCTGGCCTAGGCAAACATGCACTCCTGGCCTGGTGCAGAGGGAGGAGTTTTAGAGAGCAAGCCTGCCCCATCGTCACCCTGCAGCCACAGCTCGTCCTGCAGGGGTTGGCCTGGCTCCTCGCGCTGGGCATCGTGACATGGCGTAATGCCACTCACTCCAATTGGGCCCATCATGACAGAGGAGTGGCTGGGCCAAACCCGAGTGGGGCTGTGACCCTGTGTGTGGTCACAAAACCCAGAGTGAAGAGCCAGGCTGGGACCTGCAGGCCGGGAGTCATCGCTGTGGGGTGAGTGTGGGGTGGAGTCACTCTGCAACATCTCCCCTCCCCTCCGCACTGGTCCGGGATCAGGCTGAGGTGCGGGGGCATACGGTGCATTTTATGAAATGGTGGGTGGCCAAAAAAAAAAAAAAAGCGCAACAAAATGCAGTTGGTGGATTGCCTTCGTGAGCAGTTTGGGAACCACTGGACTAGATGACTTAATATCCATAGGTTTTCCTGGTGAAATGCTGGCCTCATTGAAGTCAATGATACATTTCTAATGATTACGTCTCTCAGGTTTCGAGGGAAGGTAAAATCTGCTGTTTAATGTGTGGTCACTAGGTGGCACTATTCTAGATACGACAGTAACTTTTCTTCCCATTTATTTTCACAGTATAATGCCCCTTATACATAGATAGCACTCAAACTGGTAAATTGTGCTAAACAAACAACGGGATCCCTGTCCATTTTGCAATGTGGTGCTGGAAACTCTCCCCAAGTGTGCAGGGCAACAGCATTTTGGATTTGATCACAAGCATTTTTCCCCCTCCGTGACTTGCATGACATAAATCATGTCAACGAAAAGAGCATGCTCTTTATTCTGAAACATACATTGACTCACATGACTTTGTACAAATATTTTTCTTGGACTGCCACCATACAATTAAGTAGTTGCTACTAAACAATTTGCCTTTTTATGCCATCCTAGACTTTAAATGAGCACAAAAGTTTTATCTGTTTGACAGGTTTAAAAATAATTTTTGATAACATATTAGGGATAAGATAACTATATGTTGACTATGAGAAAAAAATGTACACATAGTTCATTCTCAGGTAGGTTAATGTAGTTCTCTAGACCTGAGTCACCACAACATTACTCTGATTTTACTCAACTGACTTTGGGAAATAAGTCCTCAGAGGGTCACTGGCTCGTGTTATTGGGAGACGCATACATGGAAGGTGCTATTTAAGTCCAAGTTGGCGTAACATACAAAATTTGGATCTGGATCAGAACTCCCCAATTGTTGGATTATTCGAATAACCTTTGTCTACTATGGAGGGTTATGGTATTATATTAATAACATTACAGTGAATACAGACGTACATTTTGTAAGGCTAGAGAATAAGGAGTCTATTGTGCTGGGTTGGTCTGGAGGGTTAATTGGATGGTTTGGTGAAGGACCTAAATTCAATTGACAGGGCAACTGGTTCTTCTTGTCTGCCTGGTTCTCTGATTTTGCTCCTTTCTTGGATTATGAAAAGATAGAGCTGGGATTTTCCCAGTGGGAAATCACTACTATCTAGTTGGTGTGAACACAGCACCATTCACTAGTGACTCAAAGTTGTTACCATCTAATGCAGTGGCTCTTGAACTTTTGTACCGGCGACCCCTTTCACATAGCAAGCCTCTGAATGCTACCCCCCTTATAAATTAAGAACACTTTAATATATTTAACACCATTATAAATGCTGGAGGCAAAGCAGGGTTTGGGGTGGGGGTAGACAGCTCGCAACCCCCCATATAATAACCTCGTGACCCCCGAGGGGTCCGGACCCTCAGTTTGAGAACCCCTGATCTAATGACTGTAGTGGTTTATGTGAAATGAGTTTTGCTGGCCCAGTCCAGTGTCCAGCAGACAAATTTCCACCTCACACACAGCAACACATTACGGGAACACTGGCTGGTGGTCTCAGAAGGGAAATCAAGGACAAAAGGAGCATGGAGGGTGTGCTACTTGCTCAACCCTAGAAGTAGGTCCTCTAGGCCAGTTGCCTTTACTGTATCTGTTCTGTGGATGCAGGACATAGATCTCCAGGGCTGTCAATCCAGCACTGTCCACCAGCAGTAATTGC